CAGTGCCCAGGCGTGTCCAGGCTGGAGTAGAGGACGTGGAGGGAGAGGAAAGAGGTGACACATGCTACGGACAGTGACCTTTGGATGGGGCCTGAGGACCATGAAAAGGAGCTTGGCTTCTCCGCAAAGCCGTCTGGGAGGCTCCGGAGGATGGACCTGCGGTCTGTGTCCACCACTCTGGCCCCAGTGCAGCGTGGCCTGGCTGGCCAGGACAGTTCTGGAAACCCAGGAGCAGCCCCGCCCCCCTCCAGCCTGGCAGCTTGGGGATGTGGCGACTCCCTTGTGGATCCGGGGCTTCGCCCACTGGGGAGCACACATCCGCCCACATTTCTGGGTGGGGGGACCTATGATGGGCAGCGGCCTATTCTGCGGCCCTTGCCTTACCTCGATGCCTTGGGATGAAGGGAGTGGGCGGCCGGTGGGGATGGAGGGTTCCGCGCCCGCTGGAAACTAACTGGCCAAGTACAGACTCTGGTCCTAGCACAGGGCGAATGTGGTGAGTGTGAGGACGCCGCCCCGTGGGAGTTAATTCCCAAGCAGGCAGCATGTCTGGGCGTTGATAAAAAGCAGTAATTTCTGTAATTAAACGGCGCCATTCTTTTACCCATGATGAAGTTTTAGGAGGCCTTTGGCAGAATGGAAGCTGTTCCAACACGTTCATTCTGTGTCTTCTCTTTCATTTTCCCAAACAGCGAGGCTTCCTGCTCATGATGGTGCCGAGGGTCCCAGTGGGTGACCCTTTCTTCAGTTTCCAGGAAAACAAAACTTAATTGATGGGTGACAGGGAAGCAATGCTGTGGTGGAGTGCCCCAGGTGTGTGAACCCAGGGCAGGACCGGGGATGGGGGTGCAGGACCCCACATTGGATGCTCTCAATACAGACTTCTCCAGAAAGAGGCAACACAGAAATGGAGGGGGAGAGAGAGATGGCGGAACCTCGTTTAAATAAGACTTAAAAGACATTTCAAGCAGTTACAATGTGTAACTTTTTAATACAAACTGGACAAAAAATGACACTTAGAAGATAGAAATTTGAACTCGGAATAGCTACTTCATGAGGAATGACTGATTTTAAGGTCTGATGAGTGGTAATCATAGTTTACAGATGTGAGGGTCTTTATCCTTCAGAGACACTGACGACATGAGATGATAGGGTGTCTTGGACCCCTTCCAAAATGACGCGGGGCAGGGGCCAGGGTGGCGGCAGGAGGAGCCTCTTCACACTGTCCTGTGTCCTAGGCTGAACAGGTAGGTTCTTCCTTGAAGACCTTCTTGTAGCAGTTGCTGGAAGGCGCCACATCCCACCACGAAAATGACAGTTGCCTTTAAATTCCCACTCAGTCCCTGTAAGTGCAAGGAGACAGGCCCAGATGGGGGTGGTCATCTCCTGGCAAGCAGTGAGGACAGCGGAGTGCTGCGAGTCTTTGGCAGAAAACTGTCTGCTCGTAACCTGCTGGCCTCCCGTTGCTGCACTGTGTTCAGCTTACACTTCTATTTTGACAGCTGCTACTGGCTCCTACCTACAGAAGTGGCAAAATTGTCTTTACTAAATAAGTATGTGTAAACACTGCAACTTAAAGACCTAGGGAATTTAAAGACCGCCCATGTGGTAGTCAGATGTGGTCAGACTGTTTTAGGATGTTAGGAAATGACATGTCTGGGAGGCACTGTGCAAGTCACAGGAAACGTTCAGGAAAACGCAGTATGTGGGGTGGGTCATGGTCTCACACCAGTCCGGGGTCTCCCCTAGATCCGCTACGCCTGGGGCAGGGGGCTCACTGTCTCCTCAAATGTCAGCTAAAGCTGGACTCCCAGAGAAGGGGGCCAATGGCAGGGAGTGGAAACGGACCACACAAAGGTGGGGTGGTCACAGGGATCACAGACAGCTCCACAGGCCGCCGAGGGGAGGGGACAAGTTTGGGGACATTGTCAAGGGCAAAGTCTCCAACAGGAAGATTTTTTTTATCTTTTGTGTCCCATTGGTGGTTCTTTGCTGAGGGAATTTCTCAGCTACCTAAATTAAATATAGAGCTGTGTCTACCAGGTTTTCTTTGTTGTTGTTTGTGTGCAGAGGTAAACCTTTTATTGGAGATAATGGTGATCACACGCCTTCTTGTGAGAAGGAGAACAATCCCATGTGCCCTTCACCTAGTTTCCTGCAGCGAATGGTAGGATCGTGAAAACTGCAGGACAATCCTGCAAGCCAGAGGTGACGGGAAGTCG